TCGTTTTTTTGGTGAGGATGCACGCGTGGCAGCGAAAGAATTAAGCATCGTGTGCATACCTGGGAAGTTCAGGTTTGACGAGCGTAAGTTAGATGTCCTTGCTCTTTTGTTTCGATTTTTTTCCTTGAACGCCACGGGATCCAGGAAATGATATCAACTGGTCTGTTAATTTTCTTCCGATAGACCCGTCCGAAGCTCACTTGACCCGCTTTGCCTCTGCGAGTATTCCCGTGCATAGATTGCATGTCCATGTTAAACGGCTGGTGGCAGCAGGCTACAAAGTTGGTGTGGTTAGGCAGCTTGAAACTGCCGCCCTGAAAGCTGCTGGTGACAACAGAAATGCTCCTTTTGTTCGTAAACTTACGAACCTGTATACGAAGGGGACCTACATCGATGATGTCGAGGACCTAGAAGGTCCTAGGTGTAACTCGAGTAGTGTCTCTACCTCCACGGGCTACATGTTATGTATGACTGAGAGCAACGCGAAAGGCTGGGGCAATGACGAGAAAGTCCACGTCGGAATCGTAGCGGTCCAACCAGCCACTGGAGATGTCATCTACGACGATTTTGAAGATGGATTCATGAGGAGCGAAATCGAAACGAGACTGTTGCACATTGCACCGTGTGAATTTATAATTGTGGGAGAGATGTCGAAGGCTACAGAAAAGCTGGTGCGGCATTTATCAGGCAGTAAAACAAATATTTTCGGCGATAAAATGAGAGTTGAGAGTGTTTCAAGACTGAAAAATGCTGCTGTTGAATCTCACAGTCACGTCGCAAGCTTCTATGCCAGTCGGATGAAAGCTCGAGGGACTGACGGGGATGTTACAGCAACTCATCTGCTAGAGAAAGTCCTGAGGCTGCCGGAGGATGTCACTATTTGCCTTTCATCTATGATTATTTACATGTCTCAATATGGTTTGGAGCATGTATTCGACCTGACCAAGTATTTTCAGCCGTTTTCTGCCCGATCACATATGCTGTTAAATGGCAATACCTTGACGAACTTGGAAATATATCAGAACCAGACAGACCATACGTCAAAGGGGAGCCTATTTTGGACCTTGGATCGGACGAAAACAAAATTTGGACAACGCTTGCTTCGTAAATGGGTTGGAAGACCTTTGCTCAACAAAAGCGAACTTGAAGAGCGCATTGCTGCTATCGAAGAGTTGCAAGATACAGCCAGAACAGTGCCAACTGAGCGGCTAAAAAGCCTCCTATCGAAGGTAAAGGCTGACTTGGAGAAGAGTTTGATACGAATATACTATGGAAGGGTGAGATTTGTGCAATAGTGTCTATTCAGTTTGTATTCAAAGCTAACACGCTTCTGAAGTGCACACGGCCTGAACTCCTCACTGTTTTGCAAACAATGCTGTTGATCTCGGACGAATTTTTTCATATCAAATCTCCTGCTGATTTGGGTTTCTCGTCCTCAGCAATCAATGCAGTTATTGCAGCATTGCCTGCTATACGTGAGGATATCGTGACGTATCTCAACAAGATAAATGCCCATGCCGCTAAACAGGACGACAAGTATAATTTTTTTCGAGAATCAGAAGAGACGGAAGAAATTTTAGAATCCAATCTTGGAATCGCAGACGTGGAGCATAGACTCAAGGAGCACTGTGCTGTTGCAGCGGAGATCCTGGGAAAGAAAAAGGTGCAGTACGCCACAGTAGCAGGAATCGAATATTTGATCGAGGTGGAGAACAGCCCCTATAATCTTAAAAAGGTACCGGCCTCCTGGCGTAAAATCAGTGGCACCAAGAAAGTATCCCGCTTCCACACCCCAGAAGTAGTCCAGTATATCCGAGAACGTGACCAGTTCAAGGAAGCCTTGGCAGCAGCATGCGATAAGGCATTTCACGCACTCCTTGCCGACATCTCAAAAAAGTACCAGGAGTTCCGCGATTGTATTCAGGCGCTGGCAAAGCTCGACTGCCTTCTCTCGCTGGCAAATATCGCGAGCCAGCCCGGTTATGTCAAACCCACATACACAGACAAGACTTGTATCAGCATCCAACGCGGACGCCATCCCATGGTCGAACAGCTTCTGTTAGACAGCTTCGTGCCCAACGATATAGAACTGCAAACTAACGAAACACGCGCCCTTCTTGTCACGGGTCCCAACATGGGAGGAAAATCAAGCTACGTGCGACAGGTAGCTCTGATCACTATCATGGGGCAAATCGGCTCGTACGTGCCCGCCGACTCTGCCACACTCGGCATGCTTGATGCCGTCTACACTCGCATGGGCGCATTCGATAACATGCTAGCAGGAGAATCAACATTTATGGTCGAACTGTCTGAGACGGCAGATATTCTCAGGCAAGCAACACCACGCTCACTCGTTATCCTTGACGAACTGGGGCGTGGCACATCAACGCATGACGGTGTTGCTATTGCACATGCCGTGCTGGATTACATGGTGCGCGACTTACGAAGTCTTACTTTGTTCATCACCCATTATCAGAGTCTGAGTAGCCAAGCACTCAATTTTCCAGAGGGAGAATTGCGGAATGTGCATATGAAGTTCATGGAGTCTGGTGTGGATGGGAGGGATATTACGTTCCTTTATGTGGTTGGTGAGGGTGAGGCGCATCGCTCGTATGGGCTAAATGTAGCTAGGTTAGCTAATGTGCCGTCCTCGGTGCTAGATGTGGCAGCGACGAAATCTGCGGAATTAGAGGAGAAGATTAAGAAGAAGAAAGTGTTGGGACTGGCTAAAGTGGTTAAGGGGCTGATCGGTGCGGCTGGTGCGGGGACTGGTTACGTTGATTCAGCCCTTTTGGAAGGGATATTGGTAGCCCTGGAGCAGTTGTGAACTTTTGCTTGTATTGTATGTTAAAGAATGTCACTCTGCTTTGACCAATATTGCGGTAATGGACAAACCTTTGCCTTCATAACAATACTTTGTAGCTTATGTGCCCTTAACATCCACTCTTTGTAGACAAAATCTTAGTATAATTCTATAACTTTCCATTATTGTAAGTAAAGTAACGGGACATTTTTATAGTTCCAATATCTTGATTATGGGCTTCGTCTATAGAACAATTCATATTATTCGCTTTAAGGCAGAAAATGAAGTTGAGCAGGAGGAAAAGGCAAAACGCAAGGACTGAGGGAAATTGGAACAAACCAGAGTCGATTCGTTTATATATTTTAGACACTTGACTGAATCTAATGCGACATGTCTTTAACAAGGAAAAAAAGAAAGAGAGCATAAAATTTCGACTTGGTTTTAGCTGCCAATCCACCTTCCCGAAAGCTTTTCCTTTTGTTTGCCACTTTACAGCCTTTAATTTCATTCATTCCGAACCCTTCAAATCGTTGTCACCAAAAGGAAGTTGAGGAGGGTCTCAGGATTGTAGATAGACATTGCCCACCATCTCCCAACACTTGGTGCTGAACCACCACAATCATCCCACCCGTCTCTCTACACACTCTACCCACACACTCCATCCCAGTTTCAGTTCATCGATCATAAAGGTGAAAATAGGACTCCAGGAAACTTCCAGAACGAGTTTTTGAAAGGACCAAAGGCGAAAAAAAAATAACAAAATAATCGAATGGTTCTTGCCCAAAGATACAGCAAGGCTACCTTATCTCAATCTGCGGGCTTCTCTCTCAGACTCGAGTAGACAGAGGATATCATCGACTTTTACTATTGTTTTGCAAGCGCACAGGTTAGTTTATCAGATTCCACATAATCTGCTCCCTTTCTGGTGGATATTGCAATGCACTTCATACCTGGGCCCTTAACGTTTCGGATGATGCTTCTGGATGTGTCGTCCATGAACTCAACACGAACCTGGGTGACACCACCTCGGGAACCTATAAATCGAGAATGAGGACAGGTCAGATACGTAAATATTTTCCTAAATTTTCCCTTGCGGCGCGTCGCAAGTTTCTATGTTTAACCAGATTCCGCCCGTCCCAACTATCCCATCTTAACCCCTCTATAACTTCTTTTTCTTTCGAGATTCGGTCTTATTTCAACTTCACAAATGACACAGACAACTGACTGCCATAGATAATCTCCAAGCAACAGCAAGGAGAAGGGGAAAGAATTTTCAAGGAATTTTCATCTAGCAGAGGGAGGACATACCTGTGCGGCCGAGAACGCGAGTCACCTTAGCGAACTTGATGGGAACTTTTCCGGAAATATCCATGATGGGCGATGTGCTATGCTAGCGGAGTAGCGGAGAGTCCAACGGCAGAGAGAGGATGCAAAAAGGGCTGACGGAGTTGAATTCTCTTGCTGTTCAGGCTGGTGGGTTGTTGCGAGTTGGATGCTGCTGAATCTATATTGGTTGTGTGGGAGGCAGCTTTTGCCGAGGCGAAAGGAAATCCGCTAAGAGGGAATGTTTACACGGAAAACAATGAGGCTAAAGGCTTAATAGGGAATTGCGCAAATTTCAAGCCCTAATTTCCTTTTTGGTTCAACATTATCAACTTGGGAAGGCGTAGGCGGGGGGCATGCTTTGGCAATTGGGAAGGCGAACCATAGCGGTTGTTTATATATATGCTTTAGATATTGAAAAGACCTTGCATCCCCATCAATTTCGAGTTTAGAAATTTAACTTAAGTATTTTGCTGCAAGGGCTGGCACAGATGGTTCCGACTGCTCTTATTCTACTTGCTTGGTTTCTTTGACTTTGCACGTTGATCACTCAATGAATTTTAGGCCCGGTAATTTGACCAGTTCATAATAATAACTTTACACCACGGAGTATTTAACTCCTGTAACATTTTCAGTACTCAGTGCTCATGCTCACTTCAACAGCTACCCTCAATTGATTTCCTCGATACATATATTTTCTCTTTACTTCCCTTATATTAACTATCCTATCTTTCAATTACCTTCTGCCCAATCCAATTCGGATTTTGTTACGATTTTTTTATAAAAAATCCGTTGACTAGAATATTTGTCTTGCACCGCCGCCAGGAACCATCTCTCGGCCTTCCTCCATTCCCAGAGACATCCACATGATAAGATGGATATTGTCAACCAGTAAGCTCATTGTCTTATTTTATTACGTCCAAATTTTACTAATAAAAACGCAAGCCTAGAAGGACGGTTACTCTTCGCAATCCCTAAAAGCAAGTCAAGACCCCATATAATCACTACCCCTCAAATAGCGCCGATGACCCAATTGATCCTTTTCAAAAACTACGCAGGAAACAGGAGAAAAGGGAGGGGGAGGTGGGAAGAAAAAAAAAGGAAAAGGAAAACACACTCCCAAAGAACATGTCTAACAATACCCTACAGAGGGCCGCCTCCAGCAGTCTGCCATCGACCTCCTGGCGGGCTCCGACATCCAATTTCGCCGCGAAACCCGCCTTGACATCGCCCTTGTCAAAAATCTCCCCATCGCCATCATTTTCCTCCCGGCAGCTGATATCCCCACCTTTGTTGGTGAGGGCCGTGTCGACCTAGGCATCACCGGCCGCGATCAAGTGGCTGAACATGATGCAAACCTCCTGCCCGACGAGGTGTCCGGTGTCGAAGAGATGCTTGATCTGGGATTTGGTGGCTGCAAATTACAAGTCCAGGTCCCACAGAAGGGGCTCATAATGGATCCCAAGGAATTAGTTGGGAAACATGTTGTCACCAGCTTTACAGGGCTAACACAGGGATATTTTGCAAAGTTAGAGGGGAAACAGTCTTCAAGTACGAAAATCAAATATGTTGGCGGCAGCGTGGAGGCTGCTTGCGCACTGGGCGTCGCGGATGGTATTGTAGACTTAGTTGGTGTGTATATCATTTTTTTGAATTGCATTTACTTTGGTTATTGCATGGAGCCGTCTAAATCATACTAATGCTCGTTCCTTAAGAATCCGGGGAAACAATGAAAGCAGCAGGTCTAAAAGCTATAGGAACCGTTGTCGAAAGTACAGCTGTCCTTGTCAAATCCCGTAAAACCACTCACGGGCTTGTCGAGCTCATTGAATCCAGAATACGCGGCGTCATCGGTAAGTCTACTCGCGAACATAAATCTTCTACACATACAAAAGCTAAACAATTGTACCCCCGTCCCAGCTGCTAAGAAATATGTCCTCTGCCAATACAACGTCCCCCGCCCCTTGCTAGCGGCTGCGTGCGAGATCACACCCGGCAAACGGGCGCCAACGGTGACCCCTATCGAAGATGCCGGATGGGTCGCGGTGAGTTCTATGGTGGAGAAAAAATCCATCGCCACTGTCATGGACCAGCTGACAATTGTTGGCGCAACGGATATACTTGTTATAAGTATTTCTAATTCAAGGACAAGATAAGAGATGACATGTGCAAATTAAAACCTGTTCTTTAATCTACACTATTTCATCTAAAACCCTTTTTTGCCTCAAAGGGTATTCTTTCTCTGAAAGGGGCATTCACATATGGCCTTTACTTTTACATCTTCTTTTATGTTGGATGAGAATGTCGTTGTGATCTAGCTTCGTGTTAAACCACACGTTGATATGATCAGAAAGCACGTGACCAGAGGGCTACCTGCTAATACATGCTGACACCCCTGGCTGCAACGCTGAAAGACAGCTAGTAGAAGCTGAATATGTTGGGCTGTTGGGCCCTAGTTGGGTTGTTGGGCCCTAGTAGCCTGGGCGACCACTCCACCGCACGTGATGAACCCTATATAGCTAGCTAGCTTCAACCTCAACAACAAGAAGATCCTACAGAATATTTGTTGGAGAGTTGGGCGCTGGTTGCCCGGGCAGCCACCATACCGGACGTGATGAACCCTATATAGTTAGCTAGCTTCGACCACAACAATAACAAGATTAACTAATATTTACGTACAAAGTTTGGCTGAGATATCCTACTTAATAAGAAATTATCCTGCACAAAAGAAATTGAACTTATGGTGCAGAATCATGTTTTTAAAATAGAATGGTTACATTGTAGCTTTTTTTATAATGATGCTAATTACAATGTTATGACAGTATGAGAACACTTAATGTAACTAAACTAAATATTAAAAGAAAGTATAAAAAGCACTATAACTAATATCATAAAAGAGTAGAAATATAAATACTACAAGTACTATAAAAGAAAGAAAAAAATAATAAATAAAAATATAAATATAAAATTAAATAGTA